CAATGGTTTTGAGAGCATGAAAGCCTATTACTTATTAGTGACATTTGTTTATAGCCGGATCTCAGTTTTGGATTTACTTTATACCGATCTGTTTTTAACAAGCTTTTTTTATAAGCTTGGGCTGTATGTATGAGTATTATGTAACGGAATCTTTCAGCATAATTTTCACGATCTGCGCATGCGTGCAGTTTCGGACTTACTCTTTGTTGTTTGGGCACTCGGCCCAGCACAACGGAGGCAGATACTTTTTCAAAGTAGTGCATTCTCACCTTGTTCATTGCGAATGTTGCCATTAATCCTGAGTTGGGCTTCCACCGTCCACAACATGCAAGGTTGTACTGTCGATCATGCAGTCATTTATCCAGGTTCGCCACTGTTTGCTGCTGGACAAGCTTATGTAGCACTGTCGTGTCTTTAGACGGTATTCGGATTGAAGAACTCGATTGCTCTAAGTTAACACGAAACACCCCATGCAACAGTGAAGCTTTAAATGAAATGCTAAGATTACGAAATGATGCGTAAGACATTTCAATACCACATGTCTACAAAAAACTAATTGATAAATCGAACTTAAAAATGAAAAATAAATAATAGTTTAAAAAAAACTAAAGAAAACACGCCTTTATAGCTAACGAACTAAAAAGTAGAAAATAATTTTCAATTACAACGAGCTTATATTACAGTAGTAGATGGTCGAACAATCAATCATAATTAATGACCTCAAAATAAAATTATAATAAAATTTAAGTTATTAACAGAATAATTCAATCCACAGTAAAAAGCGTGGGGTGCATTTTACTACATTTTCATAACTCTCCTCTCATAGATAGTTGCCAATAGAATGATTGTAACATTTAATATATCAAGCACCCCACGCTTTTTACTCTGAATTGAATTATTCTATTAATAACTTATATTTTGTTATAATTTTATTTTGATGTCATTAATCACGATTGATTGTTCGACTATCTACTACTTTGCAATTAAAAATCATTTTCTACTTTTTAGTTCGGTTAGATATAAAAGCATGTTTTTTTAAACTATTATTTATTTCTACCTACCACTCCCAGGTATCGAAGCAATCGACTGGCTTGGCACCATTCTTTAAGAGATGAATCGTATACGGACCCCGCGAACTCACTTTTTCAACAAGATAATGCACAACAAGTAGATTTGTTGCCTTAGATACCCCGATATTTCACCCATTAAACACGTCTGCGATATTAGGGGATGAATATTACTCCATTTATCTCATCTTTCTCAGACTCCAGCGGTCTTTCAGCAAGAGGTACAAGTAGCCTGGGACGAGATACCTTAAGAGGAACTCGATCCTCTGATTGCCCAGACTTGCTTCTTTGTGCATAAGACATCGTGAAGGATCAACAAATTATAAATTTTTTGCATTCCTTCAACGGCTGGCTTTTTCGGAAATTTTGATCAATTACTTACATAACCCTAAGAGACAGAGATATGTATATGTCGGCGACAAACGCTGAAATCCGTCATTCCCTGAAGTGCCTTGTCAGTTCTCGTATTGCCGGCAAACACCGTAAGTTTGATTATTACAACGTTTGACTAAGCATTTCAGTCATTCTCTGTAACAACCACATTAACTTCGTTACTTCATTCGCCTATTTTAGTCAAACGTTGTAATCAATACAGTGTTGCTCCAATGAAGTACATAATATACCAATAATGTTAAAAGAAAAATAATCAAGCATGAATTAATCTAAAAGGAAAGAAGAATAGATTAAAACGTTGTTCTTATTACTACATTATTGTTTTTAAGCAAGTATTTACTATATACGAGGGATGTCATTTAAGTTTTGCATATAGAAACATAGCAGGCCACGCGGATCGAACGTCAGTACTGAATCTTAACCTCACTCATTAGTAAACATAAATTCAAAGTTTCACAACAATATGTACAGTGTTCTCACTGCAGTGAATTTTTAAGTGTCACCAAGTCATTAGAAAAACTCAATCGAAGACATTTTCGCGCCATAATTTATTACAACTTTCAGAGACAATTATCGCAACAAGAATGCCTTGCTGAGTTACATATCGTGAGATTGAGGCGTACTTGAAGATCTCAAAGACCTCAATTCCAAAAATTTTACATGACGAATTAGAAGTAAGAAAATTAGTTTCTCGTTGGATACCCCACCTGTTGACTGAAGAGCAGAAAGTTGGTGTCAAAAAACGCTTAACCATTTCAATTCCGGAAACTCAAAAAATGTGTACAGCATTGTTACTGGTGATGAATCCTGGATTTACTGTTATGAACCAGAAAATAAACAACAGTCGGCTGTTTGGGTGTTCCAAGGTGAAGAAAAGCCAACAAAAGTCATCCGTTCTCGAAGTGTTTCGAAAAAGCAGTTGACGCATTCAAAAATGCCGTTTTGGATCTGCCAGCAAACGAGTGGAATAAGTGCTTCGAAAATTGGTGTTTAGGCCTTAGGCCTTCGTGGAGTATATAAAAAAAAATGAACACAAAGCTGGTACAATGAATGACTGAATCAGCCAAATGCCGTAACGAAGTTAATGTAGTTGTTACGGTGTTTGACTGAAATTGTTCAGTCATTACAGGGAATAACTGAAATGCTTAGTCAAACGTTGTAATGATTAAACTGTTGCGGTGTTTGCCGGGGACTGACTAGGTATTTTAGGGAATGCCGGATTTCAGCGTTTGACGCCGACATATACAAAACATTGTTGTTTGTAATAAGTTCATTATTACTGGGTAATGTTTTTTCTATGTCAGTATACGAATCTTTAGTTTAACCTCAAGACGAAACCGTCTGGTTTCTAGCAGAACAGATGAACGTCCTTCAGCGCATACGAGAAGGTGCTGTTATGTGAATGCGTGACATAATTTTCAGCGATAATCTTAAAATACCTGACCTTGCAATCAGCAATGACCCTTAGGAAGTTTCGAAATTTAGGTAAGCGGAATAAGTTGTCCAATGAATTCGTAGTCATTAGAAACCAATTTAAATTTTCTTGCACGCAATGCTGTCTTACGACTTCTGTGGACCACTGAGTCAATTAGATATTACAACATATAAATTACCGATCAATTCAGTTTTCTCACATATAGGAGCAGAGAAACATTGAAGCTATACAGGGTGTTCGAAAAATATACAGAGATATTTTAGAGGGTGATTGCTTGTTGAAAAATATGAAAAAAAGTTTTTATAAGCATGGGTCCGGAGTTTTCGAGAAACAGGGTGATGAATTTTAAAAAAAAATGTTATTACAGTAATGTCCGCTTATAACAAAAACGTTTATTGCGAACTTCCGTTTATAACGAGCTAATTTATAAGGTACCGACTGAAATGATATTAAATGTGTACTGTTTTTCTCGCATATAACGAATCCGTTTGTAACGAACCTCCTGATAAAACGAACCTAAATGTTTGATATATTCGTAAAATTTTCGGTTATAACGAGCGTAAAACTGGAGTTTACCAGAATCAGGTAACCGAAATCTTCTGACCGCGTGGTGGGGTATGAGCAATCGCCAGCGTCTGCCGCCACTCCGCCACCGCCATTTAGTCTGATACCTTCTTTATTCGTTGTATTCAGTGTCCTGCACTCTTGAAATCATAGGTGACGCAATTTCTAAGAAAACGCGTAAAGCTCTTAAATAGTAAATACGATATCGTCAAAAGATTGCAAGGTGGTGTGAAGCAAAGTGAAGTTTGTTCTGAAATGGGATTAAGTATAGAGTACTGCACAATAACATGTCCTAAACATACATAAATAAGCACTCTGATCTATGCATTTGATTTACAATTTTTCATTTTAATTACAGGTTGGTACAATTTGAAAAAATAAAGACAAAATACTGGAAATGTTTGAGAAAGCCCAAATCATAAATGTGAAGAAAATTAAAAAGCCCACGAATTATAAAGTTGATCAAGAACTTCTGAAATGGTTTTCTCAACAGAGAAATAGAAAAGTAACCATAAGTGGTGCTATACTGCAATCGAAGGCTTGGGAAGAAGTTATTGAAATATGAAGAATTGAGTGAAGAACCTAAATTTAGTAGAAGCTGAATCGAAAGATTCAAGGGACTATATAACATTACCAGTGGAAAAATTGTTGGAGAGTCCGCTGCAGTTGATTTACTGTGTGAATAACTGGTTGCGGAACAAGTGGCCAATCATTAGAAGAAACTTCAAAGACGAGGACATATTCAACGCAGATAAAATTGGGTTATTCTATAAGCTTACACCTGACATGACCTTAAGATTCAAAGGCGAGAAGTGTGACGGTGGGAAGCTATCTAAAGAAAGAAGCACTGTGCTTGTAGTGGCAAATCTAACAGGGACAGAAAAAAGAAAGCTATTGGCAATTGGAAGATCGAAAAACCCTTGATGTTTTAAAAACGTTTCACAGTTGCCAGTTAATTACAAATCCAATAAAAGAGCATGGATGACCTCAGAGATTTTTGATGCTGAACTGCGTAATTGGGATGTTGAGTTACGCCGCGAAAAACGAAAAATTATATTATTAGTGGACAATTGTCCAGCTCATCCAGATGTTGAAAATTTGGACTGTATTAACCTAGTGTTCATACCCCCAAAGATAAGTTCTAAACTACAGCCTATGGATCAGAGTGTAATCCACAGTTTAAAAAGCCATTATCGTCAAGTTCTTCTCTTGAGAATGGTAGATTTTATTGATAGTGGCGGGGAAAATTTTACAATCAATCCTTTGGATGCAATAAACATCATTCATATGGCACGGCAGAAGGTATCAAAAGAAACAATTTTAAATTGTTTTACGCATGGGGGTTTCTTGGAGGTTAAGCATCATTTTGATCCCGACGATGACCTGCCATTAGTTCAACAATTCAATTCAACAGGAAGATGGTTTTCGAGACAATATTAGAGATAATCTTCCTTGTAGTGAAAACGATTTCAATGAGGTTGTTCATATTGATGACCAAGTTTTGAATGTCAAATACCTGGATGATGATGTCATTGTAGCTGCTATATCTTCGGCAGTTGGTACTGATGATGACGAAGAAAAGGAAAATAAAGATGAAGAATCTGTCGGTTTGGAACTGATACCAACTCCAAACGCATCAGAAGCACTTCGACACATTGACAGCGTTCGTCATTTCCTTCAGTCACGAAATAGTCCGCAGCGTGTGCTAGATCGACTAGCTGAAGTGGAATTACATATTAATGATATTCATTTCACAAAAATAAACCAAACTAAAATAAATGATTTTTTTAAGAAAGATTTTCAAAAACTTTTATAAATGTGGATTATAGATATTATTAATTATTACAAACATTTTATATACCCCTTGTTGAACAATAACCTGATGAAAAATATTTTCTGGTATTAGCATTATTTATCGTTTATTAGGAGCTTCGCTTATAGCGGACCAGTTTCGCCGGTCCCTTGAGGTTCGTTATAAGCGGACATTACTGTATATTAAAAAATATTTACTCGATTCTGTTGAAGTTTAGCAATAAAGTTTGTTGTATTAAGAGGCTAATTTCGCCCTAAATAGATTAAAATTCTAAGGTCCGGTAGCGTCCCGGGGGGCAGCGAATATTATTGGCAAAAAATGTACGCCTTTGATGTAACTTTAATATTTGTTGCTTAATCAAGCATTTAAAAATACACCTCAATTGCCTCTTGTATTTACCGGTTTACGGGTCAACAGTAAACAGTTTTTGAACTCTGAGATACTTGTGTTTACATTGCTGATAGGACTGACTTCCAAAAGTCATTTTGATTGCCTCACTATGAGTCGCAATGTTATCGGTTATTAAGGTCGTCAACGAGACGCGACGATGCGGCCAGTGCCCACGAAAGTTATCTGCGGGTTTCTGCATACCTCTTTATCTCTGCAAACATCATCTTCTAGACCTCTTTTTCTTGGTATATCTCATCTGAATTGCTTTTCCCATTCCTCTGGCGGTCTACCTCTTTTCTTTATGAAAGAAGGTTTCCAATATGAGATCTTTTTTGGCCACCGACTATCAGACATCCTGTTGACATGACAGTACCACCTTAATCTGCGTGTATCAATTTCCTCTGTCACCAATATTTGAACGTCTATTATTCGCTTTATTGAATCGTTTTTGATTTTCTGAAGCCTCAGCTTCTCCGGAAGAAATCCATTTCTGTCGCCTCCACTCCTTGTCTATCCCGTTTTGTCATTTTTCGTATCTCTGATCCATATAACAGAATGCTGTGCATAATTGTCCGGTATATTCTTAGTTTAATGCGTCTTTGTATATTATTTGACCACAACATAGAGTTTAGTTGACTAATACAGCACGTCTGGCTTTATTAACTCGATGTGATATTTCTATCTTGATTGATCCTCCTTTGATATTTTAACTCCTAGATAAATATACTCTTCACATGCGTTTACCAATTTTCCATCAATTTCTAAATCTTCTTGATCGGAATTTATCGCCAAATATACTGGGTGACAAAAAAAGGTAATCACCTAGGTATGTTTGCCAAAAGTCATCACCGAGCTTCGAAAAATCAATCCCGATGAAGAATCATCCTCCACCAAGACAATGCAAGCTCGCACACAGCCCAAAAAGCAAGGCAGTATTTAACGGAAGAAAACGTGGAATTATTGGAACATCCTCCATATAGTCCCGATCTAGGTCCTAACGATTTCTTTACTTTCCCGAAAATTAAAAACAGACTGCGTGGTCAAAGGTTCCAGTCACCAGAAGAAGCAGTTGACGCATTCAAAAATGCCGTTTTGGATCTGCCAGCAAACGAGTGGAATAAGTGCTTCGAAAATTGGTTCGAGCGCATGCAGATGCAGATGTGTATTAATCTTCGTGGAGAATACTTCGAAAAACAATAAAGTCATTTAAAGCTACCTACCATGTTGTTTTATTTTCATTTGCAAAACTTAATAGACATCCCTCGTAATCTTGTCATGAACAACAAGTATCTCAATTTTTTTGATGTTAGTATATTTATACGCTACCAACGTTGGTAATTCTACGTATCTATTAGAGATATTACATACATCATAGATTTCTCCATACATGAGCCCTTTGTTTTTGACATTCCTGATCTCTGATTGTAAACGTTACATTCAGTATCAGTCAAAGACGTTCTATCATCAAGAAGCTTCCGATCCCAGTGACAACGGAAAGATTAAATGTCTGATGTATAATGTCAAAATTTGAAATAACTTGCAATCACTCAGCGCTGCATCGTCGTGGAGGCCGGCTGTGGCAAGCGCAAAGGTAACTAAATTCAACTGGTGTATTGCGGCGATGTCGCCACCGACTCACCGCTCTACCCCTACAGGGAAATATTTACGAGCCCCTTCCCACTTCAGTTGGCCCACTTCAAGATTTGTACCAAAATATGGCTTTATAAACTAAACATGACGAAACTATTTACTTCTAAAACAATTTATTTTCTCAAAAACATTTTAGATACACTCTAGTCGTAAAAGATACATATTTGAAGTCACTTAGACCTATAACTAATAGAACATCTGAACAAATAAACAATGTGCGAATAAATACGCGAAGTTAACAAAGCAACAATTTACCATTGGGTAACATCACTTTTATTTTTTGGGACATAGTGTTAACCAAGTTTTGGCAAAAATTTGGTGTAAAACAATCCCATATTTCTTGAAGCTTTTGTCTCAGTTCGGTGATTGTACGAGCAGGATGTTGTCGTAGAACCTTTTTCATCTCGTGCCACAAAATTTCAATAGGTGACAGATCTGGACTGCTAGAAACCTATTTCAAAAGTGGTACATTATTTTCTTCCATCCATTTTATAGCCTTTTTTGAGGTATGGCACGCTGCACCATCTTACTGAAATACAAAATCTTGGCCGGATATCAAACATTCTTCCATCACTGGTAAAAGTGATTCTTCTAAAATTGTCAAATATTTGTTTGTATCCACATATCCATCAATAAAATGAAGTTTTCCTACTCCTTTTGATGACATACTGCCCCAGACCATAATGGATTCTGGAAATTTCACTTTTCTCTTCAGACAGTCAACATGGAATGCTTCATTTTTTTTTGCAAATAACTCTACTGCGACTGCCACCAACACAAACTTCGAATCGGGCCTCATCACTTCATTGTATTGCACACCATTGTTGAGATGTCCATTGTCTATGTTCTTTAATCCATCTAAGCCGATTTTTCTGTTGCAGTGGAGTTAATAGTGGCTTTCCTTTGGCCTATAAAGAAGTTGTGCAATTTTAGGGTTTTTACTTCACTTTTTTTATAAGAAAACTTACCTTGCAAGTGCTAAATCCCAGTTTGTGGGCCTCTCTATGAGTTATGGACCTCGAAATTCTCCTTCCAACAGCGTCACTCCACAGAGCACTTAATTGTAAATAATTTACACGCCTGTTTTTCACGATTGTTCTTCTTAATGCTCTTCGGTCGGCATTTGTGATATTAGTTTTTTTCACATAGCGTGGCTTAATATTAACTGAACCAGTTACGTTATATCTTCTAACAATATTTCTCACACTGTACCGCGATAAGTCTAACAAAGTTGCAATTTCTGAGTTTGATTTCCCAGAATTAAAAAATTTAATTATCAGTAACCGAATTTTCTCACTAATAACCTTTCTTCTACCCATTTTGAAAACCTTAACTACCCAAAACTATTTTAAACGTATTTTGACAGCTGTGATTAATAAAAACAATTGTCATGGCTACTATTTTTCACAACTACCTATGCGTTATAGACTTATTTTGCATTGAAATGAAAATAGGTTGATATGCTGTAATTGCAACATGTGTTATTTTTATGCTGCAAATTTGATTAGGGAGTGATACAGTTGGTGTGGGGCTCGTACATATTTTAAGAATAATAGGAAGACGTACCATTTTAGCGTGCTGCGATGCTTTTGTAAATAATCACTTAATTGTTTTTAATCTCAACATATAATCCTTAAGTGTACTCACCCATTTCTCCTAACCATTATTTTTATTACTCAGTATATACAACAGACACGGACTGACAAACTGACATAAATGAAAAACACGGAACCTAGTATTGCAACCTTTCAGAGATTCCTGTTCATTTTCAAACATTGTTTGAAGGAGTTGAATGGTGTGGGTTGCATATTGGGTGTCAGTGAAAGAGAATCACCTTCAATTATTAGAAGCTGCTGATCCCGTATTATTATACACCTGTTAGACATAATGAGTCATACATTTTCCCTACATCTACCATGGAAACAGAAATATGATTCCGCCATTTGAAACGATTTGACTCATCGCTTGTCTTTGGAACCTTCAACGAAGATGTGAGAAGTATAGAGTCCATCTACTTGACGCCATTTATTTCACTGATCGCACCTCTATACAGAGTAACAAACTCCAAGGTCATTTTAAATGTATCCGATCCCGTTTGTGGTGTTCACCCTATTATTAATTAAAACATTCCAAAACTGTGATTTTGCCTTGCAAGAAAATCCAATTTCGTTGTGGGAGGCTACAACAGAATAAATCTTAGTAAGCATAATTTGGGTCGCTAAATAGAATAATTGCAATAATTCTAAAGCATCAAATTTGTGGTAGAGAATTCACCCATTAATCCCACCACAAAACTAACATCAGATTTGGAATCTACGTAGCCGATCTACCCATGAAACAAGTTTTTCTTCAGATCTCCGCAACTCAAGGGCTTCTGAAAATTTGTTTCTGTCTATTAATAATGGACAAGGCATATAAGTTCTACTTATTTATATTCCCAGTCATCGTGCCAGTGTGCTCAATATGCAGATAATTTCTCTACAAATTCAATCACGTTGTTTCCGAACAGACTGAGTTCAGCAGGGGCTTTAGAATGAAGGTCAAGAATTACGATATTCCACGGGCATGAGACACAATAGAAATTATAATACTAACTGTACTACCAGATTTTATTGTGAAAGTACATCTTTGAATGAGCACTTTCATTCATCATGATATAACGATGCCACAAAATTTCTGTCAGGCTTCAGTGTGTCAAGTTTAAACGAAGGTCAACTTTGTTTGCTATTGCATATGTATTATATTTTACCTAGGGTAACGTTTATGCTGTTTGGGTCGAAAGGTGGAGTCGAGTAGGTTGACTTGGTATACTATCCAGGTACTAATAGGCAAAGTAAACGCGATAAAAATAGTTCTGGGTGAGATGTTGCTGTTGCTTGAAAATTACACTGAGTAATTTGACGTGCCAATTTCGACTACGGCGATGAAACAATTTTGTGCCCCGAAGTACCATTTTGAGTAAAACAGCGGGTCCTCTTGTGCCCTGAAGTACAATTTTGAGTAGAAGCAGCGAAAAACTGACATATTCGCAATCTTCACATTTGATTTGCTTAAAAAGCTTTTGTTAGTCTACGTATAGATTGCGTGTATCCAATAGCTATCGAAAATTTCCCTTGAAGGTTTTAAGCAGTGATCCCCAACCTTTTCAGTCTGTTGAGCTACTTTGCTAATATTGGAATAAACAGTGAGCTACCTAGTCGTAAGCAATGTCAGCCAACTTAAATGAAATTATACACGATGCGATGTGTATATTTTACTTATACTAATACATAATAATAAACTTGAATAAACAAATAACATACTACATCCATTCCTACCAATCGGAGGTGTTTGGAAAATAAACAAAATTTTTCGTCAGCTGCAATGTCAGGTCATATACGATTTAATAAAGGTAACTAAGAATAAAAAAAGCAACGCACTATTTTGAACAGAAACATGTCCAGATAAAAAAATCGTGTTCAATGAGAAGCCGTTCACTCAGACTCGGTGACAATTTTTTTAATGTTTGGAGTATAATTTGATACCGCCATTCGAATACAATTATCCAGATGTTGATCTGTAAGTCAATTACGGTATTTGTTTCTAATAAACTTCATATTTGAAAAAGAAGATTCACACACATAGGTTTAACTAAATAACGCTTCCATTTTCAAGGCAACACGACATACCTAAAACTGAATATTTATCTTTACTTACTGAAGGCCAGATACATTTTGTATTTGAGACTAATGATTTTAAAGCTAAACCATTTTGAAACGCAATCACTTCCATTTCTGTCGCAGCGATGTCTTCGCTAAGATTCTGCGTAACAGAAGTTGCAAACTGTTGGATATCAATTTCCATAAAGGGTGAAACACCAAATTTCGCCACTATAGCAGTTTCGTTGAAATCCTTAAAACGATTTTTGAAGTTATCCTTCAAGTTAGAGACTATTTTTACGTGATATTTACTGTCATATGATTCTAATGGACTTTGAGATATCTTTTCTGAAAGAAGAGGAAAATGCCTGGTATCGCCATCGATTAAGTTTTGTTCCAAAAGCTAAAGCTTTTTGACAAACGCTTTTAGGTAGATATCAGAAATCATTTCTGCTATTTCTTTGCCTCTCCCCTGAAGCTGCAAATTAAGTTCATTTAATTTTTCTGTAATATCCATAAGAAAATCAAAATCTCTAAGCCTGATTGAATTTTGCAGTTCCGGAATCGGTTCATCACGTTGTTTGAAAAATTTAACTATGGCAGATATATCATTAAAACGTTTCAGCACTCGTCCCCTACTTAACCATCGGCCTTCAGAGTGAAGAAGAAGTCCCCGTATTGACAGTCAATTTCATCGGTCAAGGTTTTGAATAATCTTGAGCTCTCATCTTGTTCACAATTTTTACTATCAATTTCATAACATTGTTTAGTTTTAGAAAATGTCCACATTATGCTTGCTGATGGATAATGCAGTGGTAACAGATAAATTGCGGGAAACTTTCATCTTTACGACAGAACCCCACGAGACTCTTATCACGACCCACCATAGCTGGAGCGCCATCGGTTGTCAAACCTACCATTTTTGATATTGGAATTTTCTCAGAAGAAACACTATATTTAAAAGTAGAAAACCCAGTAGTTTGGCCTTTTAGTGGAATAAACTTCAAAGGATCTTCTTTAATCGTAAAATCACTAAAAATTATTCCAACGAACACGGCCATCTGAAAGGTGTCAACGACACCTGTGGATTCATCCAGCTGCAGTGACAAATAAGCACAGTTATCAAAGTCAATTCCTAACTGTAAAACTATATCATTGCTCATTACTTTTACTCGTCCCATCACTGTATTAGCAGAAAGTTGAATAGATTTTATAGCAGACACAATCTCGTCTTTATTTCTAAAGTTGGCAAAAAATTAATCTGCAGCTTCTAAAAACGCCTGTTATATCATTTCCCCATAAGGTTTCTTCTGTTGTGTAATTATCTGGGACACCCGGTATGATGCTTCAGTTGCAGCCTTACTTTTGTCGATTATTTTTAAAAACGTTGTTACCTGATTTTTTAATCGTTTTAGTTTTTCCGTTCTTTATGCAGAACGGAATGGGCATGATTTTTCAAAATTCGAATGTACAGTTTCATAGTGCCTCTCGATATTCCCTTCTGTAAAGAAATATTCTTCTTCCCATTCCGAATGGAAATGGTATGTCTTCGTCTTCTTACTACTGCTCAGAATGTTTTTAATTGCAGGCCAACTCTAACCCAACCGCTGGACTTTGTACCGTTCAGTCTTAAACTGAGCGCACTACCGCCGCGCTTTACGTATTTATTTCGTTCAAACAAATCGAGATCGTTCTCGAACAGATCGCTCACCGCAGTGTTGCCACGGTTGTGTGTATTATGAGAATTTACAAAATTTACGGAAGCTTCTATGATTTTTACACCTTTTTAAAATATTTTGTGAACCACCAGAATTGCCTTCGCCATCAACGGGTTGGCGACCACTGGTTTAAGGTTCTCAATGAAAAAAATGGCGCGAAGTAGGTTGACTCTGTACGCGTTGTCAGTTCATGAATTATATGTTCAGCAAAAACTAGTCTGTCTTCGTATTTATTACCATTATCTACCTCAATTATCCCGAGGGTGGAACAATTTACAAGAGGAAGCTTCTCGCAGTTCTACTAAACTTAGGCAGTTCAAAAATCGAAATACCAAAATTTCTATGGGATCCTCATAGCAGCCGCGGTGTCCCGGCATTTAGGCTTCTGCCAGCGCGGCTGCTTCGATATAAAAACAAAATAAAAAAGGCGAGATTTAGCTTAAAACTACTGTTACACCTAACCTTATTAGATCTAGTACACTAGAAGACCATAAAAAAGGATCTTAAGTAGACAAATCAGGTAAGTCAACCTATCTTTATACTACAAACTTTCTTATTTGTGAGCCTGTTCAAGACATAAAGGAAGTGAGTTGAAATTGCTGGTTGTTCGATACGTAAGACCTCTATGAAAAAAATCAGTCCATAGACATTCTTTTCATGCCTTACCGGTAGTGCATCTGGATACGCCGCCTCTCCCCGATACTTAACCCTGTCTGACGCTTCAGCAGAAACACGTGTAATACCCATTTTGCTTTTCTGTCACTATTCCGTCCCCATTGAATATAGTAAACACCTTATTAAGCTTCTCAATTTGATTCATGAAAGCTGTGGAAAGTTGGAAGATGGTCTATCCAGGAATAAGTTTCATTTGAGGAACTTTTCAACCTTTCATCCTGCAACTTATGGCAAACAAAGACGGTCAAACTTTTCAGCCCATCATACTCGAGCTCATCTATTTCTTCCACTAAAACTTCCTCGTTAAAGTCAGCTGATACTTAGGTGCATTCAGTTTATTCGTTAATGATGCGGTTAGTGGAATGTTCGAAGTATCCTCTTCCTCTATGCTGCAATACTCTTCGTTTCGCCCCAAAATATATAACCTTATTCTATACTTAAACTCTACGGGATAAGTTGAGCCCTTTGCCTTTTTTCGTAAGCACTTTTCCGCTTTTCCCCATCAACAGATGTAGATGGTCCAGGTGATGATAGATACTTGGGTAAATTTTCCATGGAATGGCATCATCTTTCAGAGTACGATCGAGGTGCAACCCAAAAGGGTATGTTTCAAATTGACCTTATAGGCAAACCTAGCGCTTTTTACAATGACATTGATTTTCCTTTTTGTATGATGTTGCCATTTTTTGCTAAGGTTTGGGACTTGAGGAAAACTCTGGAACTTCATGTCATTGCAAAGATTCCGTTCAGATTGGTTGTCGGAATTACATCCCACAACAGCACACCGCATGTTTATCAATTCATTAACATCACAGGCTATATAAAGTATGTATGACTAATACAACAACTCACAAATCCACCAAAAATCACCAACAAATCGTATTATATAGTATTAACCAGGATACACGTGCACTGCAGTAACGTTACGACAATCCTGCCACTGGTAACCACAAGCCGACAACTCTCTGGGTGACGTCACGAAGCTCCGCCCACATGCGCAACATCCTATCTTCAGTGTATGTGTATAGTGTGTAATACCATACAAGAACCATAGAATCCGGGCCGGCGTCAGGCCACTGAGAGCAGCAGTCGCGGCCGGTCGGCATGCGATTCGTCTGCTGAGAATATTTTTAGTGTCAAGGGCTAATTTACGGAGAAATCTATGACCTGTGAAGTATGTTTAATAGATGCATAGAATTGCGAAGAGTTGGAGCGTTAAATGTACTAACATCAAGAAAACTGATCGTTATTGGCCTTTTTTGCCGCCACTGGACCGATTTTCAAAAATTATAAAGCTTTGGCGTCGTTGGCATACTGGTAACATCGTGTAAGAATTTTATCGAAATCTGAGCAGTACTTCTCAAGATATAGGCGGTTATAAGATTAGCGGACATACCGACAGACAGACAGATAGACTCACGGAAATAAGTGGAATGGTTTTTCGTGTTGTACATGTCAGGTAACATCTAAAAAAGACACCATCTCAACGTTGAAAATTTTCGCTGTCACAATGCTTCCCGCCTGTAGGCGTGGGAAGTAAAAAACTATTTGCGTTCCCCTTAGCAAAAATAGAACGAAATTCGATACAAAGAAGTAACTTGGAACACTGATTTAGAGTATGGACATCAAGTAGTTTGGAAGTGAGACAAAGTTCGATTTAGGTAAAAAAAATGGACCTTTACGGCCTGCTGCCGATTGCAGCCAAAAGCTGACATCGGATCGTGCTCTGTGCACCTGATTTTACCAAGAGTTCTCTTCTGAAGTAACAATATGCAAAAATCTATGAAAATTATTCCCGGTAGTATGATAGTAGTATAGACAGTAATTTCCGAAATGTAAATATTTTAAGTTTTTAGATAAAATTTGATCATATGTGGCTATCGTAACACGTGTTTTATCTGTTGCTTAATAGTTACGCATAATTTTCTGATCGGTGTTAACAAATGTTTGATAGTGAGATAGTGTACCAGAAATAAAGCTGTCGTATGTCATACACTTATAAAGGGTCTGCCTTCCGTTGGTTTCGTTTTTAAATTGGTATTAAAACTACACTCTTCAATAATATGTAACACTCGATACTTTATTCAAAAGAATACACCTTCCGATTATTTATGAAAAACAATTTCAGTTAAATTTAGATAGTTTAGATAGATAGTTTTTGGGTCTGTTTCGAGGGATATTTTCCTTAAGGACACTAATTGTTTGAGGATCGTTAGTGTAATAGCGGTCCGTACGCGATGACCGAACTCAGTGTGTAAAAGATCGGTGTGACATGTTACATCCTGCTGGAACCAGAGATTGTGCAAGTGCATGTCATCTAATAGTGGCCACAAAAAACTCCTCAACATGTCTCTATAGCGTTCCGTCACGCTGTTACCGTCTTCATCTTGAAAAAAGTAGGGACCAATAATCCCACCACTCCAAAAGCCGCACCAAACAGTTACTCTTTTTGGATGCATTGGATTTACAGAACCCCAAATCTTGCAGTTCTGCTTGTTAACGTAACCTCCCAGATGGAATTGGGCTTCGTCCGAAAAGATGATGAAAATTGACGTCCGTTTCCAATTGAGTTAGAGCCCACACAGAGAAGCGATATCGAAGCGGATGGTCATTTTGTTTCAACTCTTGCACAAGTTGCACCTTGAAAGGAAATAATCCCAGGTCATTATGCAATATTCTCCGCACATAAGTGCGACTGATACCCACTTGCTGTGCTCTCTGACGAGTTGACATCCTTGCGTTTTGTTATCCACAAGTACGCCAGTTTCACGAATTTTCGTATACCAGTCGCGGACGGAGCTTCATTCCGACCAAATGGTCTTCTCAATTTTCGCAAGGCTTCTGCAACACAGCACTCACTTTGAAAATAGTTTTTCAATATTTCCCACCTTTGTTCAAGATTAAAACGATCCATTGCTCGCAGCGGAAGTCTGACACAATATATCTGTCAATATG